AAAGTGCGGGAGGGGATGGTGGCCACTGTGGGGTGGGGATAAGCAAAACTCAGGGGGGGACCACCAGGTGGACTTTTCCGCTCAGGCAGCAGAGGCATCCACAGCATCGGTGACCGCGCCACGATAGCGATCTGCCATAATGGTTGAGTGGAATCTCCAGTTGCAGCATATCTCCGAATATTAACAGTTGGGGGCCCAACAGTGAAGGGAAGGAATAATGTGTTCTTATTATGTTTTTTTATTTTATTTTTAAAAAACTAGATGTAAAAGATATACAAAAGGAAAAGAAGGGTTATGCAACTAATTATATATATCAACGGTCATTATACTTTACAAGATATATAAAACAGAAAATAGTTTTCCCCGACATCCCCTTCATTATAATTTTATGATGGTTTTTTTATAGAATACATTAATCCTTACTTCAGACATCTTAAATTTCAAATGTCATAGCTCATCTATTTAGCAACTTTATTATTAGTTTCATCATTACTCCATATTCTATATTACGTAGTTCATCATTTCTGCACACTAGCTACAGCTTTTGATATGCCAAAATTTAAAGGAAAGTCTATTGCATACCTCACAATTAAAAATATAAGCTATTTTTGTTCACTTCCTTCTACATTTATGTTCAAAACTTGTTCTCATTCGAAAGAATACTGTCTTCCAATGCTCCCTCTAAGCTGTGGAGAGCAAAAATTCTGCTTTGTGAGCTACTGGCGTCAACGTTGCGAGAGAGCGATTTGGCTACTGCACAAATTAGTTTGCTCTGGAGCCCGCCTTCCTGAGCTAAGACAAAAATGTGTGAGCCAGAGGCTAAAAAACTGTGAGCTAGCTCACGCTAGCTCAGCTTAGAGGGAACACTGCTGTCGTCTTAACTTGCTTGTGGGCTTCCCAGAGGCACCTGTCTAGCCACTTGTAGGAAACAGGACGCTATACATGGCGGGCGTTTAGTGAGAGGCAGCAGGGTCCAGCTTTTTGTTCTTGTAATGATGATGTCATGCAGACAGGCAGGCTGTCCTCCCAGACCAGCTAATACAGGTGCAAGCAGATGTATGGAAGTTCCATCATGTTGCCCAGGGCTCTTTTTGTAGAAAAAGCCCAGCAGGAACTCATTAGCATAATAGGCCACACCCAACAGCAAAACTCATTAGCATATTGGGCCACACCCTGACAGCACCACTCATTAGCACATTAGGCCACACCCCCATGTCACCAGAAGTGTGGACATCCAGCCACACCCACCTTTCCCTTCTTATTCTGTTTACCTTGTTTGTTGTCAAAACGGTCCAGGGCTTTTTTTGTAGCAGGAACTCCTTTGCATGTTAGGCCACACACCCCTACTGTAGCCAATCCTAATGAGTTTCTGCTATTGGGTGTGGCCTAATATGCTAATGAGTTCCTGCTGGGTGTGGCCAACTCAGGTGCCAGCCGGAACTCCGTTCCTGTGCGTTCCTGCCCAAAAATAGCCCTGATGTTGCCACTGATTTATGGCAACTCCAGCAAGGGGCCTTCGAGGCAAATGAGAAGCAGAGGGGGGTGAAAGTCATGGGCTGTGCTCTGGCACATAGTCATCTCTAGATGTACCATGGTGTTCTTTATTTTCAATGTCTAGCCTCCTGGATTCCTAAGACTTGAGGAAGTGTCCTGAAATGTATAAAAATGATAAATCTCCACCACCTATTTATTTAACTCTGGCGCTAGATAGAAGAGTCACATGAAGCTGTCTTCTTCTGAGTCAGATCCATGGTCCACCAAGGCCAGTATTGTCTACTCTGACTGGTAGTGTCTCTCCAGGTCTCTATTTGAGATCTTTCAAATCGGTTCCTACCAGGTCCTTTTAACTGGAGATGCTGGAAAGTGAACCTCAGACCTTCTGTATGCAAATCTCCACCCTCTGTTCATTTTACTCTGCTGCTAGACAGAAGTGTCATATGAAGCTGCCATCTTCTGAGACAGACCACTAGTCCATCAAGGTCAGTATCAGGGGTCATTTTGTAGAAAAAGAGGTGCAGGAGCTCATTAGAATAACTTATGAGCATAACTCATTTGCATATGCCACACCCCCTGACATCACCGGAAGTGTGTCAGAAGGCAACACTCACCGCTCAGGCTCCACTGAACTGTTTTGGATTGCCAGCTATTGGGGGGAGGGGGAACGTGCAGATCTGCACTTACAGAGGAGGGAGAGCTTGTACCTGAAGGTGGGCCAGGGGGGCTCTGCAACTTACCTGGCTGCTTCTTGCTCCTTGTGGCCCAACTGAGGGCTGCTGGGAGCAGGGGGTGGGGTTTGTTGCATGTGCTCGCCCCCTGGGCTCCTTACTGCCGGAGCTCCGTTCCTGTGCGCTCCTGCAGGAAATGACCCCTGGGCAGTATTATCTTGTAGCTAGGGGATTTGGGGGGAGGGGGCCTCAGGGGGCCTGCCATCTGATTAAATGAAAGCACAGGGCAGGTAGTAAGTTGGAGCACTTTGGGGGCAGCCCGGGAGGGAGGGGGCCCAGAAGAAACACGAGGGGGCCAAGTCCCGTGGGCCCCGTGGTAGCTACAGGCCAGACACTGACTAGCAGCAGCTCACCAGTACAGAATTTTTGTCAGTTCCCACCAAGTCCTTTTAACAAGAGGTGCCAGGGATTGAACCTGGGACTTTCTGTAAGCAAAGCAGATGCTTTGCCACAGAGCCACAGGTCCTCCCCTCAGTCTGCTTGGGGTAAGGTCTCTTGCTTTCTCTTTTCAGGTGCTTACATGACACTGCAACTCTACAGCCCTGCAGAGGTCCTCAGGAATATGAAGGACTCTGAGAAGAGGAGGAGGAAGAGGAAGAAGAAGAGGAGGAGGAGAAGGGAGAAGAAGAAGAAGAACAGGAGAAGGAGATTGGATTTCTACCCCACCCTTCACTTGGAGTCTCAGAGTGGCGTACAATCTCCTTCCCTTCCACTCCCCACAACAGACACCCTGTGAGGTAGGTGGAGCTGAGAGAGCTCTGAGAGAACTGTGACTGGCCAAGGGTTACCCAGCTGTCTTCATGTGAAGGAGCGGGGAATCAAACTCGGTTCTCTAGATTAGAGTCCACTGCTCTTAACCACTACACCAAACTGGCTCTGTAGGGACCCTGTAGAGACTTTTTGCTGAGTGCCACTAGTATGTGGACCCTTCTCGTTTTTATTCAGCCTGCCTGTATGACCTTTGCCACTATGGGATGGCCAATGGAATGCTCTGTCCAGTGCTGTGAATACCAGTTCCCTCAGCAACCTGGACCATCTTCTGGACCATGGGAACATCTCTGTACTAAACCTTACAGTTCAAAAAGGTGTTTTCCTTTCTAATCCTTCTGCCCGGAGTGAGATTTTCCACCACAGGCAAACTGAAACCCTATAGACATGAGTATATAGACGACTAGAGATTGCAGTGTGAGTTAATATCCTGTGACTTGCCTTAATCATTGGTGAGAGGAGGGGATAGGCTTGCCAAGTCCCCCCAGGGGGTGGGGAAACCCCCGCCACAGAGGCCCGTTCCCCGCCGGCGGCGGATCAGGCCCTGGGGGGAACTCCACCCCGACATGCATGTTGCCCGGAGGTGACGCGGGCACGCCAGGCACGCTGGGGGCGGGGCCACGGTCATCCAAGGGAAAACTCTATTTCTGCCACAGTCTTTTTCTGCCCCAAAGATTACAGCCCCACCCAAATGTCTGGTTATGGAAAACCAACCCTGTTGGCTGTGTATAGTTTGTACCATCTGTTGCGGTAAGTAGGCTCCTGCTATGTAATTATTGCTTTTGCTTCACGCGTCATGTTAATCAGGGGTCATTTCGTAGAAAAAGAGGTACAGGAGCTCATTAGAATAACTTATTAGCATAACACATTTGCATATGCCACACCCCCTGACATCACCGGATGTGTGTCAGAAGGCAACACCCACCACTCAGGCTCCACTGGACTGTTTTGGATTGCTAGCTATTGGGGGGGGGGAACGTGCAGATCTGTCCTCACAGAGAAGGGAGAGCTTGTACCAGAAGGCGGGCCGGGGGGAGGCTCTGCAACTTACCTGGCTTCTTCTTGTTCCTCATGGCCCGACTGAGGGCTGCTGGGAGCAGGGGACGGGGCTTTTGCATGTGCCCGCCCCGAGCTCCTTACTGCCGGAGCTCCGCTCCCGTGCGCTCCTGCAGGAAATGACCCCTGATGTTAATACTTGTGCTGTGCTTCACCTCTGGTTGGTTTCCCGGATCTCTACAAGTAAAATGCCTATTGCATTGTCTTTCGGATGTCCCACTTTGCCGATCGTACAGGTCTATGTCTGTGTAGTCCACATTGAGTCCCAGTGAGAAAGGTGGACCATAAACATGGCAAATAAATAACATAACATAACATAGCTAAATCTGTCCCACTTCCAGTAGCATCTCTAAACAGGGCCCCACTGGCCCCAGCAGAGGGGCACAACTGTGCTTCAAGTTGCCCAGTCTGAGATCCAGAGGAGTTTCTTCTTACAAAATGTCTGCATCCAGACTTGCAAGATCATCTGAATTTGTTGTTATCCTCCTGATGCTGCCATCCCATTGGCTCCCATTGGGCTCAGTGTCTGCCCTGACAAAGGAAGTAACAACTGGTCATCAGCAACCCTGCTTTTAGAAACAAGGCCAGATAACTACACATCTACTTTCTGTTTACAGGGTTGCTCGACTGAGCAATATAGTTCCCCATGAGCAATAAGATTTGTATGGAAGGTCAGCTGCTACCATTCAAAAAATATTTGCACATCTGCTTTGCAGCAGTTAAGCATCTGGAGAGTAGAGGTGTCTGGTGCATTTGCCTGCTGGCTGTGGACGCTGACAGTGACACTGTTGGCCCTCCATAGAAATTGGGTGGTCAGCTGTGTGAGACAGGATGCTTGACTAGATGGACAACTGATCTGATGCCGCAGGGCTCTTCTTATGGTCTTAGAGTCATGTTTAACCTTCTACGCCAGAGAAGAGCTTCTCCAAGAAATGGCTACTGGTTCATAAGATGGCCAAGCATCGTGAGCAGGGTAAATTCACATCCTGAAAACGGGTGATTTACAAATATCTTTGATATAACTACTAATGAGATTTTTTCTCCACCCAGGGCAGGGACAACTTCATCTCCTTCTCCCGCTGCCTGCTGTTCAGCTACGGTTTCCCCTCTGAAAGGTTAACAGCTGGCTGATCCCACTTGTACCAGACCACTTGTGGACACATAAGAACATAAGAAAATCAGACCAATAGTCCAGCATCCTGTCTCACACAGGGGCCAACCAGTTCCTCAGGACTGCCAACAGCAGGGCATCGAGACCGAGGCCTTCCCCTGACATTGCCTCCCAGCTCTGGGAGTCAGAGACTTTGTGCCTCTGAATGTCTCAGTCACTATGACTAATAGCCACTGATAGATTTATCCTCAATGAATCTATCTAATCCTCTTTTAAAGCTTTTTATTCCTGTGGCCATCACAACATCTTCTAATGGATGCAGTTCAAATTGGTGGCCATCTTTGGCTCCACCCACAAGAGCTCCACCCACAAGCTGATTTCTACCGGCTAGGGTGGTTGCTTTTAATTTCCTGTCCAGGTTCGGAGAGAGTTCTATAAGCGAAGCATCACTTAATGGCAGCGCCTTATCACTCACACGACCACCTGCTGGATGCAGCCAGGGCTATTTTGGGGCAGGAACACATAGGAACGGAGTTGTGGCTGGCTTCTGAGTTGGCCACACCCAGCAGGAACTCATTAGCATAATAGGCCACACCCAACAGCAGGAACTCATTAGGATTGGCTATATTAGGGGTGTGTGGCCTAACATGCAAAGGAGTTCCTGCTACAAAAAAGCCCTTGGTTTTGACAACAAACAAGGTAAATAGAATAAGAAGCAAAAGGTGGGTGTGGCTGGATGACCACACTTTTGGTAACATGGGGGGGCGGCCTAATGGGCTAATGAGCTGTGCTGTCCGGGGTGTGGCCTAATATGCTAATGAGTTCCTGCTGTTGGGTGTGGCCTATTATGCTAATGAGTTCCTGCTGGGCTTTTTCTACAAAAAGAGCCCTGCATATGCCTAAGCTGCAGAGTTCAAATTGTTAAAGGAGCTGCCCCTGGAGACTGGCCTGTCCCTGTCAGTCATTGTCTTCTCCCAGTGGCAAAGCCTTATCTCTCATGCCCACCCACTGGAGACATGTGTCGAGGGTGCAGGGAGTGCATGATTACCCGGGAGTAAGCCCCACTGAACAAAGCTAGACTGATTTTCTGAGCAAGCATATCAAGGATCCAGGGCCGGCTCACTCACTAGGCGGACTAGGCGATCGCCTAGAGCGGGCTGGCCCTTAGGGGCACCAAACTGCACCCGGCCCTATACTCTGGGAGTTTCTTGATTATTTGTGTTTTTCATTCTTCCTAAAATGCATTTATTTTTTAAAATTGGTGGGTGCACCGGTGGGGGGGGGCACCAGAAGGGATCCCCGCCTAGGGTGCAAAATAAGCTGGGGCCGGCCCTGCAAGGATCACACTGGCAATCCTTGATCGGTGTGATGTATTATCCGTACCCCTTGATGGAGCCAGCCTCACATCTATGGCTGACAAGCAAGGGGACTGACGGCTGCACATTTCTTCTTCTGCAGGGCTCCGGCTGGTTGGCTGCCCCTCGTCCTCTTCCACTGTCCTGCTTCTGCTGACGCGAGTCAGTTCTTCTTGCCTGACGGGCAGCGAATGCCTTCGGGAGTCTTTCAGGGCTTGCCAGCAAGCAGTGAGTTCCTGTAAATGAAAGTGCCCCACTTGGATTCCTCTGGGTTTAAAGCTGAGCGGGGTGTCAGAGACAGAGCACAGCTATTGTTTACCCATGAGCGCTCGTCCACAGATGAAAGAGAGCAAAGCTGGGAGCGTCTGATCTTTCCAAAAGCTTTGGCTTGGCTCTCTCTCAGGTCCTTCAGAACTATCCTTTGAACCTTGTATGGTGTGCAGAAAGCTTACAGAGGCATTGTGTTTTGTCTCCCTCTTTATAACACGAGACCTTGATTTTTTTTTAAAAAAAATTTATTTAACTTTCAGCTTATATACCGCTCTAACCCCGAAGGGTCTCTGAGCGGTTTACAGATAATTTAATTTCCTATCTAGGGCCACATTTTTTGTAGGGGGTGACTGCCTATCAGCACCCAGGCAGGGGAGTCCTGTTGTCAAATGGTTTCTTCCAGGCGGGCTTCAGATGGTATTCTTTCTCGGTGTTTTTTCCTCTCCTGGTGCCTCGGAGCAGGTCTTTAAGTCAGTGACTCTCTCTGGTGGACCCATCACGGTGCACGGCCCCACGCCAGACGCAGCTCCGGCTCACGTCCTTTCCGGCTCTGCCACGTCGTGCCGACACGCCACCACGCCTCCGTGATTTTGTCATCACCCGGACTCCACCGCTCGATGTTACACTCGCCAGGCTCGCCAGGGTCATTCCGCCACCGCTCGCTCGCCATCCACGAGGAGAAGGGTGCCCCCTGCCACCTAGGGGCAGGTACCCAATTTATCTACTTGCATTACGCTTTCGAGCCGCTGGGTGGGCGGGAGCTGGGACTAGGACCAGGAGCTCACCCCGGCCGTGGTGGGTCTTGAACAGCCTTAATGGCTGTTCACTAATGTTAAGGCAGGCATTCTACTGCCTGCGCCACCGCTCCCGCCTTCATTCCTCCCTCTTGAGGAAATGAGCCAATGAAACTGGCTCACAGCAGATACAGGAGTGTCGAGCATGTTTTTTTCCACTACAGCTCGTTAATGGACAGACTCCCTGCCCCGTGATCTGATAACGACCACTAATTGAAAAGAGGATTAGACCAGGGGTCCCCAACCTGGTGCCCCTGGGAACCATGGCGCCTGCTCATCCCTTTCCTGATGCCCTCCAAAATGGGTGGCACTAGGTGGGACTTTTGCCTAGCAAGGTTTCTGATTGGCCATTGGGGATGTGATGGGCAGTACAGATTTTAAAAGCATTGTTTTGGCGGCAGCTGCCACTGTAGCACAAGGATCTTCACTGTGTGGCTGAAGGCAAGCTGTGGCAGCTATTTTACGGCTGGCTCCACCGCCCACAGCACCTATTTTGTGGCAGCCGTTTTGTGGCCGTGCCAACTATGCTCTGTCAAAATTCCAGAGGCGCCTACAGGCTTGAAAAGGCTGGGGGGCACAGGTTAGACAAATGATTCAGTTACTGGAATGTGCTCTATAATGGGGCTGCCCTTGAAGAGTGTCCGTAAACTACAGTCGGTACAGAATGCTGCCGTGAGAATGCCTTTCAGAGTGGGTTGCAGGGACTGTATCACTCCAGTCTTGTTCCATCTGCACTGGCTTCCAATCTGCTTCTCGGCCCAATTGAAGGTGCCAGTATCGACGAAGCCCTATATGACCCAGGATCCGCCGGTTTCTCATACAAACCCACCTGACCTTTAAGATCTTCTTTGGGGCCCTGCTAGGGGTGCCCCCTCATTTGAGGCTAGATGGGTGGGGGAGGGGGTGTGGCTCAGTGGTAGAGCCTCTGCTTGGCACGCGGAAGGTCCCAGGTTCAATCCCCAGGATCTCCAGTTAAAAGGACAAGACAGAGGGTGATGGGAAACATAGGGGGCCACTGCCAGTCTAAGTAGACAATATTGACTTTGATGGACCAAGGGTCTGATTCAGTATAAGCTAGCTTCCTTTGTGAAAGCAAATCCTGAACTAGAGGGATCTTTGATCTCATCCATCAGGATCCTTCTTCTGTTTTTCATGAGCAAGCAGATAGGGATATTTTATGGCCACCTATCAAGCTGGGTGAGGTGGAGTCGACTGGTCCATCAAGGCCAGTTTTGTTGATAGCCGCTCTCCGGGGTCTGAAGTCTTTCCGCTTACCTCCTACCTGACCCTTCTAAGTGGAGATGCTGGGGATGGAACCTGTGACCAATGTTCCCTCTAAGCAGTGGAGTCTTGTGAGCAAAAATCCTACTTTGTGAGCTACTGGCATTAAAGTTGTGAGCGAGAGATTTAGCTACTGCATAAATTAGTTTGCTCTGAAGCCCTCCTTCCTGAGCTAGGACAAAAATGTGTGAGCTGGAGGCTACAAACTGTGAGCTAGCTCACACTAACTCAGCTTAGAGGGAACACTGCCTGTGACCACTTCTTACCAATGATAATAACCGTGTAAATAAGTTCTTTTGGTTCAGGATGCAACATTCAGTGCTTGTGAACATGGCCTTTCACTATTCATAGGTCTAATCGGAGTATAAATCGGCCTCTCAATATCACTTCTGCAAAGAGCTCTAAAAGGGGGGCGGGTTGCTCTGTAACTCTAAGGAAGCCAGGAGGATAGCCAACCAGGGTGGGTTTGCTCCTATCGCAAATTTGAGCAGCAGAAATCCTGCAAGGGAAGGTTGTCACTTGTCAGGGGAAGGGAGGCCATTCCAAAATTGGCAGCCCTACATGCCAGCCGCAAGACCTCTTTCCAAGATCGCTTTTGAATGCAGTTAGCAGCCAGACATTCAACAGGTTCAGTTTCCCACCTGCCTAACTGCAATGATACTGAAACCTTCAACTGTGAGCTTGTCTGTAATGCAACTAGCGGCCACATGCAGCTCTTTCACTAGGGAGTCTCGCTTATTTGTGCGTTCGGGTTGCCAACCTCCAGCTGGGGCCTGGAGATCTCCCAGAATTACAGCTGATGTCCAGATGGCCGACATCAGTCCCCTCGGAGGAAATGGAAACTTTAGTGGGTGGAATCTACAGCATACCTCCCTGAGCCCCCTCCCTTCCCCAAACCCTGCCCGTACCAAGCTCTGCCCCCAAATCTCCAGGAATGTTCCAACCTGGAGTTGGCAGCCCTGTATGCAGAGCTGTTCCCTCTTATTCAAAACAAGTTCTGGGGCTAAACCATTGAGCAGGGAGCGTGTGTAGCACGGCACCACTAGAGCTGTCCCTGCCAGCGCGCAAGACCAGTGTTTCCAACTGCCTGGAGAAAACTTGTTCAGTCCCTGTAATGGAGACTTATCCGGATATCATTTACCTCCCTGCCATCATGAAAAGCTTCAACTGCCCATTCTCACACATTCATCCTCTATTAAACAGACAGGTCCCTTTTGTCCAGGGCTGTTGGCAACCACAGTCCCAGCTTGTCCTTCGATGTCGCTGCGGACCCGCGACAATGCGTTGCTCCCCCGGGCCGGCCGGGGCAGGAGGAGAGCGTAGCGCCTCAGCTGACCGCTAGAGGGCAGGGCCGCGCTGCGGTCCGGCTGCCCCCGGCTAGGCTGCCTGGAGCCGGCCCTGCGGTGTTGCGTAACGGCGCCTGGCCGGCTTCCCAGCCCGCGGAGCCCGAGAGGGTGGGCCCCCTCTCCCGGGAAGAGAAGGGAGGCCGAGAGAGGATTGATGGCCGTCAGGCGGAGGAAAGCTGTTGTTTGGAGCCACCACCCAAGCCCCGGGGCGGTGCCAAAGGCGCCTCGTCCTCGCCGCGGGCGGGGGGCTTGTTTACTGCGCCGCCGGCCAGCGTCGCCGCGTTTCTTTTCCCGTGTCTCTTTTGTGCTTTTGACAGACAAGCATTTGACAGGTGGCGCTGATTCTGGGCTAGTGGCAACCTCTTCCCCTCCCCCCAAGCAAAACAAAGGAAGACTCAGAGCCTTGGAGAGAGATAAAACAGTGCGGTAAAGTGGTCAGAGTGGGGGGGAGGGGGCTATGATCTGGGAGACCCGGGTTCGAATCCCCACTCTGCCATGAAAGCTTTGCTGGGTGACCTGGGCAGGTAGCCCTCTACCAGCCTAGCCTGCCTTGCAAGGTTGTTGTGAGGCTAAAATGGAGGAGAGGAGAAGAATGTAAACCTCTTTAGGTCCCAAGAAAGGCAGGACATAAAAAGGAAGTAAATGGATCAATGTAAGGGGATTGACCTTGACGGTGGCACAGTGGTTCCGTGATGTCTTTCTTTAGAGATAGATCAAGATGGGTAGCCATGTTAGTCTGTCTGTAGCAGCTGTAGGAGCTGCGGAAGGTCGATAGTTCAGCAGTCGTATGCCGCATGACGGAGTGAGCTCCCGTCTCAAGTTCCAGCTCCTGCCAACCTAGCAGTTCGAAAGCAAGAAATTGCAAGTAGATAAATAGGTACCACTTCGGTGGGAAGGGAACAGCGTTCCGTGCGCCTTGGTGTTTAGTTATGGCGGCCACATGACCACGGAAACGTCTTCGGACAGCGCTGGCTCTTCGGCTTGGAAACGGAGATGAGCACCACAACCCTAGAGTCGGATTTGACTGGCTTTCGAGCAAGGGAACCTTTACCTTTACTTTAGCAGTAGAAAAGAGCAAGAGTCCAGTAGCACCTTACAAGAGAAACAACATTTGTAGCAGGGTAGGAACTTTCGTGAGTCGCTGCTCACTTCTTCATGAAAGCCCATATACCCTACCACAAATTTTGTTAGTCTTTCAGGTACTACAGGACTCTTACCCTTTTCTTTAGAGGATATCCATCCACTACAGTGGGCTCAATTCCAGTTTGGAATGACCATCTCCACCCACTAACCTGCCCCCCACCTGCCTTCCAAACCTGTGAACACAGATCTCGCCCTCTCTCCAAGCCTCTTCTGCACACGCCCGGCGTGGAGTGCAGGATCCAGGGGCCTGCTTCTACAACCTCCTCTGCTGCTGGGGAGTGGGAGCAATGGAATGGGAGTGTTGTGTTCCCACACACTTTTTCCCGACACTTCCACACTTCTGACCTATACCTGTTTGCCTCTGTGTGGACTCCCACCATTTCCTGGAGGAGAATGGTGGTGTGCTGGTACCCTGCTCAGGGAACCCTTCCAGAATCTGTGGGACTGGTGTGCTGGTACCCTGCTCAGGGAACCCTTCCAGAATCTGTGGGACAGATGGGGCTTTCTCTTAAAGCGAACCTCAGAGGGTGTGTTTTGGCAAAATGTTCTGAGAATACTGTAGGGCCCAAAAAGGACATGCAGGGATCCATGGAACTGGGGGATATCTGTTTTTTTCCCCCAAGGATGGCCTTGAATTTTGGGGCATCACTCCCAGCAAAGATGTTTTTGCATAGGATGCCTGTCATGTTGGGGGTGTGGTGGTGGCGGTGATGGAATTGAAAGTGCAAACCTAAGAACACTTTCCTAGGTGTAAGCCCACCTCCAGGTAAAGGCTGGAGATCTCCTGATATTACAACCAATCTCCAGGCCACAGAGATCAGTTCATCAGGAGAAAATAGCTACTTTGGAAGGTGGACTGTATGGGTAGGGGCAGGGGTCATTTTCTGCAGGAGCACACAGGAGCGGAGCTCCGGCATTAAAGAGCCCAGGGGGCGGGCAATTGCAACAAGCCCCACCCCCTGCTCCCAGCAACCCTCAGTCAGAGCAAGAAGCAGCCAGGTAAGTTGCAGAGCCCCCCCCCAGTCTAAAACAGTCCAGTGGCACCTTTAAGACCAAGTTTTATTCAGGTACAAGCTCTCCCTCCTCTGTGAGGACAGATCTGCACGTCCCCCCCCCCAGTAGCTAGCAATCCAAAACAGTCCAGTGGAGCCTAAGCGGTGGGTGTTGCCTTCTGACACACTTCCGATGATGTAAGGGGGTGTGGCATATGCAAATAAGTTATACTAATGATCTCCTGCACCTCTTTTTCTACAAAATGACCTCTGGGTAGGGGTGTCAAACATAAGGCCCGGGGGCCGGAACTGGCCCATCCAGGGCTTTTACCCGGCCCTCAAGCAACTGTATGGACGTGTAAGTACTCCCCCTTTTATGGTATCCCTTGGAACAAAACTAGTCTTGCACATATTTATTAGGGCTTTTGTGGGTTCCTGAGTAAACCAATTGCTTTCACTGCTAGAAATCAATTGCTTTTGTTTTCATTTTGAGTAAAACATAATATTGTTAATTGAGTTTACTTGTGTCCTTTATAAAGTTTATATCTCCGGTATCTGGCGTTACATTTTATGGCACACCTGGCCTGGCCCAACAAAGTGACATTTATGTCGGATCCGGCCCTTGTAACAAATGAGTTTGACATCTCTGCTCTGTGGTATTATAACCCGTTGAAGCCCCTCCCCAAACCCCACCCCCCTCAGGTTCCGCCCCCCCAAATCTCCAGGTATTTCCCAGCCTGGAACTGGCAGCCCTAGGTAAGCCCTACTGAATAGACCTGAGTAGGATTCTAAGCAGACCTGCTGGCAAGTAGCTGCAGGGTGGTGGGACGGTCCCAGGGCTCTTTTTGTAGCAGGAACTCCTTTGCATATTAGGTGTAGGTAGTGCTAGACCTTGAGGTCCTGTACTAAGATAACCCACTCCACCAGACCCTAACAAAGATCTTTAAAAACTGTGCAGGAGTGATGGGGTCATTGTTCCCTCTAAGATTCTGGCCAGGCGGTGGCAGTGCGGCGCTGCAAGACCTGGAGAAGCTGACGTCATCTAGCCAAGACGAAGTGAATACGCCAACGGAACATGTCTGACCCTGCAGCTGAACAAACCCTCGCCGACTGTGAATGTGTGTGATTTAAAAAAAGATATATGTTGTCCTCGCTTACCCCCATAAATCATTGTTAGTCCTGTGTGTATGAGTAACTGTAAATCGCTCAGAGCCAGCAAGCTCTGCATGATTGTGTGATTAATAAATTGAAAGATTATTAATTATTATTATTAAGATGAGTTAGTGTGAGCTAGCTTACAGTGTTTTAGTCTCCGACTCACACATTTTTGTCTTCGCTCGGGACGGAGGTCTCCAGAGCAAGCTGATTTGTGCAGTAGCCAAATCGCTCGCTCACAGCTTTAATGCCAGGAGCTCACAAAGTAGGATTTTTGCTCACAAGGCTCCACAGCTTAGAGGGAGCAGCTGCCATCTCCAGGTTGGGAAATTCCTGGAGAGTTGGGGGAGCTCCTGGGGACACAGGGGAGTTTGGAAAGGGGAGTGGGGATGTGGTGCCGTAGAGCTATGGATGCCAGCCTCCAGGTGGGACCTGGGGATCCCCCGGAATTACAGCTACATAGATGAGTTTCCCTGGTGAAAATGGATGCCTTGTAAGCTGGACTGTGTGGCACTGTGTGCCACTGAGGTCCCTGTCTTTCCCAGGGTCCGTTCCCAAATCTCCAGGAGTTTCCTAACTCGGGTCTGGCAACCCTAGCCTAGCCCCCATCCCCACCAACAGCCAGGGGAGACTTGGCAAGCCTACACAGACCCCACCTCTGAAGCAGCCATTTCCTCCAAGGGAACTGATCCATGTAGTCTGGAGCTCACCTGTCATTCTGGGAGAACTCCAGACCTTACCCGGAGGCTGGCAATCGGATGAAGGACAAATGCAACTAGGCGCACCTTTACCCAGCGCTGTGGGGAGAAACAGGGGAGGGCAGGCCCGTAGCCAGGATTTTAAAAACTCACATTTGCAGCGTTCACACTCTGCCTGTCTATGTGGGAAAGCAAGCCGCGCTTGGGGAAGGGGAGGGGGTGGGGAGTCCTCTGGGCGGCTCAGCGAGTTGATAGTCCTCCAGGCAGCCCAGAGAGCCGAGGGGGGGCTGAAGGCTAGATGGAAGTTGTGGGGCCTTGGCAGGACGTCAGGGGGGGCAGCCCCCAAAATGCCCCACTGTAGCTACGGGCCTGGGGGGAGAGGTGATTTGGGGGAGGGAAACTCACCCCTCCAGTAGTCTCCCTGCAGGATTGCCCAAGGTCTCAGGCAGGGCTATTTTGGGGCAGGAACGCACAGGAACGGAGTTCCGGCTGGCTCCTGAGTTGGCCACGCCCGACAGGACCTCATTAGCATAATAGACCACACCCAACAGCAGAAACTCATTAGGATTGGCTACATTAGGGGTGTGTGGCCTAACATGCAAAGGAGTTCCTGCTACAAAAAAAGCCCTGGGTTTTGACAACAAACAAGGTAAACAGAATAAGAAGCAAAAGGTGGGTGTGGCTGGATGACCACACTTCTGGTAACATGGGGGTGCGGCCTAATATGCTAATGAGTGGTGCTGTCAGGGGTGTGTGGCCCAATATGCTAATGAGTTTCTGCTACTGGGTGTGGCCTATTATGCAAATGAGTTCCTGCTGGGCTTTTTCTACAAAAAAAAAGCCCTGGTCTCAGGGGTTTGGGCTGACCCCCCCCCTTTCCCTTTTTAACCTGCTCTTGATATTTCCAGCTCACTTGCCAGCAGGTCTCTGGCTTTCCTTCCCCCTCCTTTGGCCAATTCACAAAGTTGTAAATCGCTGCATTCCCAGGGAGTCACCCCCCCCCCCAGCTGCATGGGAGCTTTTCTGTGAGTGACCTGGTTGGACGGCTTTTACAACTGGCCAGGGACGAATGCCTTTACTGTTCAGTAGGGCAAAGGCCCTCCATTTTTAAGAAGCTGCCTGTCCCCTGGCGAAGATAAAACAGATGGCAGAACGGTTTTTATTAACGTTATTCTTTGATTTGGCATTTCATGGTTGTTTTGGTTGCCTGAGTCCCTGCGTCTTGGATGGATTATTTATGGCTCAGGATAAAGAATCGTATTAAATCAACAAATAGCTTAGTGGAGTAATCGCTCTAACTGCTGAGAATGCACCTCCAAGGACCAGTACAGACTAGGGAACATT